CTTCTCAGGGCTCTTTCTGATCATGGCCCAGCCCATTCCTGCCATCATTCAGGCCTTGGAGCTGGGGCCAAACACCAAGGTCCCAATTCCTCTCCAGCCCTGAGGGTGGCCTGTTTTCAAGACACTGGCTGCCACTGCCCCAGCCTCAGCACTCTTTGGGCACCCAGGGTCTGTTAGACAGTGTCCCATCCCTCCTGGTCCCACTCTGTTCCACTCTGCCCAGCACCCTGGAGGCTCAGAGACACTGTGCACTCTCCCCCTGCTAGATGGTGAGATGCTCTGCAATACCAGCTTCCTTTCTATGGGCACAAGGTGTCTGCTGGCCAGGGACCCTGTCAGGGACCTTGGCATTTATTACTGCCAGACATGCTCATTAATTTGCAAAGCCATGGATTTTTTTTTTACTATAGTAAAATTAAAAGGTCAGATAATGAGAAGTAGGTATATTTAGGCACCAATAGGTCAATTAGCACCTTGTTGTTGTTGTTATTAAGTGCTGTTGAGCTAGTTCCAACCCATACTGAACCCATATAGGGTTTCTGAGGAGTGACTGGTGAGCTTGAACCACTGACATTGTGGTTCAAACTGACTTTGCAATCCAGCACATTAATCCACAGCACCACACCAGGACTATACACTGTCAACTGCAAAATATTTAATTCTTATTTTCAGTGTCTTCCATAAGCCGTAGAGCCAAATACTGTAAACTCTTCCTACATGCCCTTTTCATTTCTACCAATTCTATTGTGTATGTGTGATTGAGAGAAGAGTAGAGAGAGGAGTGATGGACGAGAGAAAGAGGAAAGAATTTGCACAATTTGAGAAATACCATTAGCCAGTTCTTTTAGTGGAGTCCTGGTGTAGGATAAACACTGGACCACAATGTTGGTTTGAACTGCAAGGTTGGCTATTCAAACTCACCAGGCACTCCTCGGAAATCCCATACAGGGTTGTTCTGAGTTGGAATAACACTTAACAACAACAAAGTTCTTTCAATAAAAAGCCTGATCTGATGAAAAAGGATAGCGAGAGTGGTCTCGCTGCTATGCTATCTCTCTTACAGCAAGAGTGGGGTCACAACTCAAAGAATGTAATCAATGTTCCTGAATTGTACATGAAGAAATTGTTGAAGCAGTATGTTTGGTGACATATATTCTCACAACAATAAAGAAAAAAAGAGAGAGAGAGAGTGAGAGAGTGAGACTGAATGAACGTGGATGAATGCCGTGAATTGTGAATCTATGGTCTTTCAATTTGTTTGAGTTGATGTAGGTCCTTAGCAAATCCTTAGAAAGTGGTTTGTGCCAGGTTGCTGATCAAAAGGCTAGTGGTCAAGGCCACCCAGTGATACCTCAAAGGCCTGAAGAATTTCTTCCATTAAGATTTTGGCTAAGAAAACCCTATGCAGTAATTCTATTCTGTAACGTACAGGGATGCCTTGAATCAAAATCAACTGGAAGGCATCTAACAACAAAAACAACATGGGCATTGCATCACTCTGTGTGTTTATAGACATACATGGTGCCTTTATCATGGCCCTTAAATGCAATCTGACTGCTTTGTTGGAGGTTTAATAGCAGAAAGAGTCAGTACTTCTGGCACTGACAGAAAAACTCTCTGTACTCAACTGAGCAATTAATTGGGATGCTAGCTAGTCTCGAGTGTGGTGTCTTCTTAGGGGTTGTCCAGAGAAATTTAAGCTAGAGATTTTTGGTATGTGTGGTTTTTAGAGTTGAATGTGGGTTGGGATTTCCCTGTATTCAAGTATCTCCTTGTTCTCTTCACTGGTAAGTCCCACAGCGGCTGGAACGCCTCATGTTTTACATTGAATTTCTTCCCCAAAGTTTTCCTCATGCTCTCTATCTCCGTGAGTGACCCAGGTGCCCAACTCAGAAACTGTGACTCTGTACTGTCCCTCAGACCTCTCCTTTCCAATTAATTGCTTATCAAGGTTATTTCTTAAGCACCTTCCTAATTCATTCACTTTGCTCCATTCACTCTGCTAGCTCATCCTCAGTGGTCTGATTTGCTGCAACTATTTCCAAGCTCATATCTCCTATTCTAGTCTCTCCCCATCTTCACCTCCTTGCACTAAGTAAGCCTATCCAGTCTCACAAAAGTCAAAGAGATCTTTGAAAAATAAAGCCCCAAACCATTGAAGTATACACACCATGGAATGGTCAATCATTCAAGATCCAAGGGCAGCATTTACCTAAGGAGAAAGTTTAGAAGGGTTGGGAAAGAGGGTGGAATGGAAACAAGAATCACAGGAAGGACATGGGATCATTGTTCTTACATGGAGGGGATTGCAATCATTGAGATGAAACAAAGTATATGATTGACTGAATGTAAAACTGATGAACTGCTCTGTAAACCTTCACTTAATTCACAATCAAAAGTTAAAAAAGAAAAACCCAAAACCTGATAGTGTTACTCCTCTGCAGTAGTAATAATAACAGTACACCAAACGCTTTAGCAGCTCTTTATGGTCTTTGCCAGGAGTTACAGGACTCTGCTTGCTCGCCCTCTGCTGACTGTATCCTATCTGGTCATTCTACTCCATGAAATCTCCATACATGGAAAATAGGACTGACTGCTTGTACACCATGTTCTTTCAAACCCCAGGGGCTTGGTATGTGTTGTGCTGTTTGCTCTCTTTGCAACACTCGCATGCTCCTTGTTTTTCTTTTTTTGTCTAGCTCTTACTGCTCCTTCAGTTCTCAACACAGATATTGACCCTGCAAGACTGATATGCTGCCTGTCCTATGCGCAGACCTAGCACCCTCTACCTTTCCTTACAGCAGCATTTATCTCACTGTATTGTAACATCCTGTGTTTTCTCTGTCTTCTCCATAACACCAGGGCAGTGTAACTGCAGGACCAGAAGGTAGCTTTTTCACCATTAGGGCCTCCTGGCACGCCTTGGTACCTATTTGCTGAATGAACTAATTAGTGCTGTACTAGATTTGTTTGTTGTTATTGTAAAGTGATGTTGAGTAAGCTCTGACTCATAGCAACCCTGCATAGGATTTCCGAGGAGCAGCTGGTGGGTTTGAACTACAGACTCTGTGGTTCACAGTCCAATGCTGATCTTACAGCATCACCTTAGGAGTCCTAATCTTAGAGTGAAATTCAGTAAATAAGAAAGGATGAGGAAGCTCGGGGCATAAAGGCATTCAGCCTGAACACTACTGGTTTTTCTCAGAGTTTAGTTAACTCTGGAGTCCTTGGGTGGTGCAAACAATTAATGCATTTGTCTGCTAACTGAAAGGTTGGAGGTTCAAGTCCATCCAGAGGACATAAGAAATAAGATCTGACAATCTACCTCCAAAATAATCAGACAATAATAAAACCTATGGAGCACAGTTCCATGCTAACACACGTGAGTAGAGTTGCTTTGACTATTGGTTAATTTTAACTCTGGGGCTGTTGAGAAAGTCTCACAGAAGGGACGTCAAGGATAGGGGCTCAGAGAGTTATTATCCCATAGGAGAGTGACCCTCTAGGTTTGGTAAATCCTTTTTTTTTTTTTTTTTTTTGTCTCACTTCTACCATAAACTTGGGTTCCAGAAGTAAGAGAACTGACATAGGATGATATGTAGAAGTATACATTTCCATGTTTGTATTTATGGTTCTTTTGTTTTGAATGCAATATGTTTCAAGAAGTTTGCTAACCAAATGTGAGAAAAGATTGTTGGGGGAATGATCTGCCTAACTAATGATCCCATCCAGACTGCCTAAGTAAAGGCCTTGTGTCCAGAATATAGTTTGATAAAGAGGCTAAGAACTGGGTTCTTTTCTCTTTCCTAGTCCCTTCTTCATATCAGAGACATTTTTCCTCTGTTCTAGGCACTCAGTAACTTTTTGTGTTTCTTGTATATGTGTGAGCACCATATAGCATGCAGCCAACCCCACTTCTATGTCTGTTCCAGTTGGGAGGGTCCCTCATACCATAGCACAAGGGGGGTGAGTATAGAGCATCTGCCCTCCATCAGTTATACGCAGGATGAGCCTGATGGCCACGAGAGACTGGTGCCTGCCAGTGAAATCAACCATGCTCTGTCTCTTCTCACTGTGAGTGAAATGTTTCCTGTGCACTGTTAAAAGATTGTGTGGTCTTGTGTTGGCAATTGTCATCTCTGCCTTGGCAAAGATTCACATACTTCTAGATTAGATTTTGCAGCCTATTCCTGTGGCCTCCTGGAGTGCTGTGGGTTAATGCGCCAGACTGCAAAGCCATTTGAACTGCAAGGTCGGCGGTTCAAGCTCACCAGCTGTTCCTCGGAAACCCTATATAGGGTCGCTATGGGTTGGAATTGACTTGATGGCACACAACAACAACAACAACAACATTGCTATGGCCACTTGGTTCCCTCCCTATTGCCTCCCCTCCTATTCACACTCTCACCACTTGTATCTACCCTTTGCTGGTTCTACTTCAGTAGTTCAATTGATTCAGACTTATTGTCTTGCCTGCTGCTTCGGTATAGGTTTTATAGATGAGATTTCCTCTGTCAACTTGTTCCTGAACTTAAATTCCCACCAATCCCCAGCTTCTCTAGGAATAAAGCCCTGCTCTAGTCTTGATCAGGAGCCCTGGTGGTGCTGTAGAATAAGCATTGGACTGCTAACCACAGGTCAGCAGTTCAAACCCACCAGCTGCTTCTTGAATGAAAGATGAGGCTGTCCTCTTCCATAAATATTTCATCTCAGAAACCCTATATAGGGTTGCTATGGGTCCGGAATTTACTTGATTGCAGTGGTTTGGTTTTTGGTTTTGATCTTGATTGTGCCTAAAGTTCCTGATATATCCACACTAGTGGTCGCCTTTGACTTGCCCCTCAGCAATTGGGCTCCCAAATCCCTTCATGCTAACTTCACCTCTTGCAGAGCCCCGGGGCATCCTTCTTTGAGGATGGAATCCCAGGGAAGACTATATTATTTGTACCTCCTGAAAATTCTCATAGGAGTTGTTGCTTGTCTTTCTCCTAAGGGTGAAGATGGACGACAGGTTCTACTCAGTAATCTTCCCAGATGTGCGGAATTTCCGCCCCTTTACTGTCGACTCTCTGGCTGCCATCAATAAGCGCATCGCCATGCAGAAAGAACAAAAGAAGGCCAAAGATAAGACAGCCACAGAACCCCTGCCTCGACCTCAGCTTGACTTAAAAGTCTCCAGGAAGTTGCCCAAGTTGTATGGTAACATTCCTCCTGAGCTCATAGCAAAGCCCCTGGAAGACTTGGACCCCTTCTATAGAAATCATAAGGTATTCCTGTGGGAGGCTGGGGTGCTTTGACCATCTAATTGTAACTAATATTACAAGGTTCTCCAAACATCATTCTCTATCTCTTCTTTGCTAGTGTACCTGTCTTCGCATTCATAGTCTTGAGACCCTTCTGCAGTTACCACTTTTCTTTCTGTAATGCTTGTCTTGGGGAAGGAGATAAGGACTAGAAGTAGCAAAGGACAAACAGAGGAAATGCAAAATGATGTCTGGAAACAGAGCTAGAACACCAGAAAACTTGGGGTGAAGGTCATTTTAAGCAACTGACTTTTTGATATTCCTCAATTTCTTAATCTATAAAATGGGAACAATGCCATTTGGACCTGTAACATAGACATGCTATGGAAACACTTTATAAATTGTAAAGCGTTATACTGGTATACAGGATGCAGGCAATAGGCTTTCTAAGCTACCAAATGAGATAATGAAGGTCCAAGTCCTAGAACAACACTTGACACACAGCAAAAAGTCATAAACAAAGTCTAATAAAATGGTGGAGTCCTGGTGTGGCACTGTAGGTTAATGTGCTGGACTCAAAGTTAGTTTGAACTGCAAGGACGGTGGTTCAAGCTTACCACACACTCCTTAGAAATCTTATTGTCTATCGATAGGTCGGAACCAACTTGACGGCACTTAACAGCAACAACAACAAAATGGTGACCATGTGGGCATGTGTTGATTATAGATAAATTTTATCTGGTTTGCTTTCTTATCCACCTGAATGTAGTTACTGTAGGGAAATTTTAGTAGCAGTTCCTGAAAGGGAAGGAGCTGAGTGAGAAAATACGCTCTCTGGGAACCTCTGGTGGTTGCTTGCAAGCCAAGAGCAGTGCTGATGGTCCTCTGAAGACATCGTGTCTCAGAAGAACTTGTTATCATCTCACTGCATGATTCCAGTAGGAAATGGGAAACCCATCATTCCAGACTGAGGTCAGGGAGGAAAGAGGCTGGGGGCCTTGGGAGATTTCCTATTAAGTATGGGATGCTAAGTACAATCCTTTCTAGTACCCATGAAAAACTCACCTCTCAGAGAAAGGTTGTCTGGTTTGGGACAGACTTAGGGATCCCAGTCCAAAAGGTGACCTGTGTGGGGAAGAAAGTGGGGCATAGGCATGAAGGACAAGCAAAGGGAAAAGAGCTAATGAAGCAAAGATTTTCCAGTATTTCTCCTTATCCGAGAACTCCAGGGGTTTCTTGGTGGCATGATTTTTAGAGGTGAGTTAACTACTGGAAGTCTCCCTCTGCCTCAAGACTGGTTAGGAATCTCCCATGTCAGGCAGCAGCTTGGTGTGCTAATAGGATAACAGCCCTAAGAGGATAAGCTCTGTCCTAGCTCAGGTGGATGATGAGATGGTCTAAGACCATTTCTTTTCAGCATGGACTCTTCCTTTAAATCAGAAAACATGATACTGGTTGTGAGTTTCCACACCCACTATCTCACATGACTGGTGCTCTGAACAGTCATGTAGTGTGTGTAACACTGTAGCTAACATCCTATTTCACAGATGAGAAAACTGAAGCCGAGACAGGGAAAGTGGCTTTTGCCAGTCAGTGATGGGATCAAGACTCAATCCCAATGGCTCTTCCCATAGTCACTTCCCAAAGGCCACTCCCTTTGTTGTTTTGTTAAGTACCGTTGAGTTGGATCCAACTCATAGCAACCCTATATAGGGTTTCCAAAGAGCAGCTGGTGAGTTTGAACTGCCACCATTGTGGTTCACAGGCCAGTGCTGATCATAGCACCACACTTGGAGTCCTTTCTTAAGGATCTGCCATTTTAGAGACAGGTGAGTTTGAACTGCAAGATTGGAGGTTTGAGATCACCACCCACCCCTCGGAAAACCCTATACAGGGTCCCTCTGGTCAGAACTGGTTTGAAGGCACTTACCGACAACAACATAGGAGATGTATTGATAATTATTGCTCATTGGAATGTAAAGGTTGGAAACAAAGAGGAAGGACCAGTTGTTAAAAAATATGGCCTTGGTGACACAAATGATGCTGGAGATGCATGATAGAAATTTGCAAGACCAGTGACTTATTCTTTGCAAATACCTTTCTTGAACAACTTAAAAGAATATTATATACATGGACCTCACCAGATGGCATACACAGAAACCAAATTGACTACATCTATGGGAAGAGATGGTGGAGAAGCTCCGTATCATTAACTAAAATAAGGCCAAGGGCAGACTGTGGAACAGATCATCAGTTGCTCATATGGAAGTCCAGGCTAAGCTGAAGAAAATGAAAACAAGTTCATGAGAATTCATATGACCATGAACATATTCCACTTGAATCTAGAGACCATCTAAATTTAAAGAACAGATTTGATGCATTAGACACTAGTGACCAAAGACCAAAAGAGTTGTGGGATGACATCAAGAACATCATACAGGAAGAAAGCAAAAGGTCATTTAAAAAGACAAGACAGAAAACAATGACCAAAATGAATGTTAGAAAAGACTTGCTCTCCAGTGTACAGATGCTAAGGTAAATGGAAGAAATGAGGAAGTAAAAGAGCTGAACAGAAAATTTCAAAGGTCCGCTTCAGAAGACAAAGTCAGATATTTTAATGAAATGTGCAAAGAAAGACCTGGAGTTAGAAGGTCAAAAGGGAAAACCATGCTCAGAATTTCTCAAGCTGAAACAACTGAAGAAAAAAATTCAAGCCTCGACTTGCAATATTGAAGGATTCTAATGGACAAAATATTGAATGATGCAGAAAGTGTCAAAAGGAGATGGAGGGAATGCACAGTCACTGTACCAAAAAGAAGCGGTTGATGTTCAACCTTTTCAAGAGATAGCATGTGATCAAGAGCCAATAGTATTGAAGGAAGAAGCCTAAGGTGCGCAGAAGGCTTTGGTAAAGAACAAGGCTATGGGAATTGATGGAAATCAAATTGAGATCTTTCAACAAACTGATGCAGCGCTGAGGCACTCACTCTCTATGACAAGAAATGTGGCCAGTAGTTTGGAAGAGATCATATTTGTGCCCTTTCCAATGAGTGGTGATCCAATGGAATGCTAAAATCATTAGACAATATCATTAATATCACATGCAGTTAAAATTTTGCTAAAGATAATTTAAAAACTCTGTAACAGTACATTGACAGGGAACTGCCGGAGGTTCAAGCTGGATTCAGAAGACAACGTGAAATGAAGGATATCCTTGCTGACATCAGATGGATCTTGGCTGAATATCAGAAAGATGTTTATCTGCTTTATTGACCATGCAAAGGCTTTTGATTGTGTGGATCATGACAAGTTATGGACAACACCGCAGATAATGAGTATTCTGGAACACTTAATTGTACTCGTGAGGAACCTGTACACAGACCAAGAGGCAGCTATTTGAACAGAACAAGAGGACACAGAATGGTTTAAAATTAGGAAAGGTGTGCGCCAGGATTGTATTGTTTCACCATAGTTATTCAGTCTGTATGCTGAGCAAATAATCTGAGAAGCTGGATAATATGAAGAAAAACCTGGCATCAAGATTGGAGGAAGACTCATTAACAACCTGCAATATGTGGATGATACAACTTTGCTTGCTGAAAGCTAAGAGGACTTAAAATACTTCACTGATGAATACTGAAAACCACAGCCTTCAATATGAGTAGCTCCTCATTGTAAAAAGAAAAAACAGAAATCTTCAATACTGGACCAATTATTAACATTATGATAAATGGAGAAAATATTTCAGTTGTCAAAGACTTCCTTTTGCGTGGGTGCACTATCAACACTCATGGAAGCAGCAGCCAAGAAATCAAACAACGTAGTACATTAAGGAAATCTGCTGCACAGGATCTTTTTAAAGTGTTAAAGTCAAAGATGTCAATTTGAGGTCTAAGGTATTGCCTCACCCAAGCAAGCCATGGTATGTTCAATAGATTCATGTGCATGTGAAAGTTAGACAGTGATTAAGGAAGACCATTGAAGAATTGATGCATTTGAACAATGGTGTTGGAGAAAAGTATCATGTAGTCTTACAAGAGCAAACAAATCTGTGTTGGAAAAAGTACAGCCAGCCAGGATATTCCTTAGAAGTCAGGATGGTGAGACTTCATCTGTCATACTTCATGTTATCAGGAAGGATCAGTCCTTGGAGAAGGACATCGTGCTAGGTAAAGTGGAGGATCAGCACAAAAGAGGAAGACCCCCAAATGGGAGGAGTGACACAGTGGCAGTAGCATTGGGGTCAAGTCTAACAATGGTTGTGAGGATGGTACAGGACTGGGCAGTGTTTCATTATGTTGTGCATAAGGTTATTATGAGTAGGAACCAATTCCATGGTACCTAATAACATAAGAGAAGAAGGAGTGGAAATGTGTCAGCAAGCAGGCAGAAAGAGCTGCTACTTAGCATTTCAATCATTAATGCACTGTTAAGTGTGGCTAAATACACCATTAGTTAAAATATTTAAAGCCGTCAGAGAGGCATTAATAAAATATCAAAACCAAAGTGTGCAGAAACAGAGCCAGATCATGCTACCTATTAATCTGGGGTGATTTGTTTGCTCTCTGCCCTAAAATATTTCCTTCCCAAATGAAGGGCACAGAATCCCTAAACTGAGTTGTGGGTACTCAGACTCATAGTCTTTCAAGAACCCTGTGGCCTATTTAATTTTGTTTTGGAGGCAAAGAAACATATTATAATTCACATTTTTCCCTCCAATCACTTGGCTGCCAGATAGTTAGCAACTCACACAAGGAAGTCTGATGGTTGGCAGTGACTGATGGTCTGGTGCCTGAGCCAAACCAGTGGTCACCCTGCTGTCTCTGGGCCTGGGTGATGAGGTCTGACTTTTCTGTCTGATAACATGCAGGATTACCTGGTAAATGGCACTTGTGTAAGGGGTAGTGAGATAGAAGACAGGAATGTTCTTCAATCTCTGAAGGCTTTTGTAACTGACAGCCTTGGGAACAGGTATGGGAATAACCAGCTTGGAGTTCAATGGAAAGTGGGAGACCTTGGGGTCACTGTCAGAGCCTGTGAGTAATGGATTGTTGTCTGGGAGACACTTCATTGTCAGATGGAAGAAGTACACAGTGTCACTGTAACAAAAAGAAATGGACTATTTTCAACTATTTCAAGAGATAGCATATGATCAAGACTCAATAGTACAGAAGGAAGAAGTCTAAGGTGTACTGAAGGCATTGGCAAGAGCCCAGGACACAGGTTCTGACTCTTTATTGGGCACAACTGGGCATTCTGGTTGCAACAGTACATCATTTTGCATCAGTCATGCGTTTGACATCCTTGAATGTACTCATTAAAGGCCAATAGAATTCTTCATGATTGCAGCAAACAGAAACACACATACAGTTCCAAATGCCTTCTGTAGGGGCAGTATTCCATTCACCTGCAAAATGGAAAACAGGGTTTCATATTAGTCTCTAAGGTCCTGGGGAGAACAGGATAGCGGCTCAGGGAAACTTGATGGTATCTTTCTTGAAGATCCTCAGGTTAGAATTGCCTGGCAGACTCTTCCAATGTGGGACTGCTTAGATTTGAGGTGTAACAATATGGACTCTGGAGGTCTTGACTATAGTAAGTTTTTTTAAAAAGATTTCAAAGGTAATATAATAATTCAAAATAAACTGCTGAATGAAAAATTTCAACCCTACTTCCCTCTCTTCAAATTCTGTTCTAGTCCTTGTCTCCAAAGATATGTGCCATGGAGGATGCAGGGTAACATAAAGGGTTTGCTTTGTTCTGGTAATTACACCCTAGTTCCTTCATTTGCGGGGATGGGCACTCTTCATCTCTGATGCCACCAGAGCACCCCTTTGGGTGAAGATTTCACAATCCAAACACTTATCTTAGGACCCTCAGTGAATCCCAGCTACATGGGAGATTGGCTGGCTTCAAAAGCAACAGTGTAGGTTGGTCAGAAAGTGTGTAAGGCTTCAGAATGGTATCTCTCTAGAAAGCTATAGTTATTATAATAAGCCAAACCACACCTCAGTCCACGTTCCACTGAGTTTTCTCTAAATGTACTCATGATAAATATTCTTTTGTCATTGCATATAATTCTTCTTTTGTTCTTTTGCAGACATTTATGGTGTTGAACAAAAAGAAAACCATCTACCGCTTCAGTGCCAAGCGCGCCTTGTTCATTTTTGGACCTTTCAATTCATTCAGAGCTTTAGCCATTAAAATCTCAGTGCATTCATATCCTTTTACCAAGTCGAGGCCACATGAAATGTGTGTAATTTCTGGGGTGGAGACTGGAGTGGTCAAGTGCTTTGTTACAGAGCTAGGCCAGGGTCTGAGCATGGGATTCTGGGCCTGGAAGAGAGCAAATCTGCAGAACTGAGGAGAGGGCTGAGATTTGCCAGCTAGAGAGAAGCAGAGGGCAAAAATATAATGATGAGGGCAATCAGACACCCAGTGCCATGGGTCTGGGCTGGTCTGGGCTCTCAGGCTGAGGGCATCAAGCCTAGAATAAAGTTTGGCAGCTGAAGGAGTTGCCTGGTTAGAGGGAGCCTTGCCCTCTTACTTTGTGGAGAGTTGCTTCATGCAGTCAAGTGCTTTGGCATCATGTTGCGAAATCAAATTTACATCTTCTGGCTTGCTTTTACTCTGCTGACTGCACCACCAAGAAGCCCCATGGGTTGTTTTGTGTGACAGAATTAGTTTATTTCTCTAAGGGATCTGAATACCCTTTAGGTACAGCACAGGACTGTGATCATAGATCTAGGAAATTTCATGGTCCAAATGAGAAGGTCACCACCACGTTGACATATAGAACCAGCTTTTATTTTACAGAGATTTTGTTGTTGTTGTTGTTGTTATGTGCCGTGGAGTCGGTTCCGACTCATAGCGACCCTATACAGGGTTTCCAAGGCTGTAAATCTTTACGGGAGCAGAAAGCCTCATCTTTCTCCTGCGGAACAGCTGGTAGTTTCGAACTGCTGACCTTGCAGTTCGCAGCCCAATTCGTAACCATTACGCTACCAGAGCTTTTAGTAAGGAATAAAATAGATTCCAAAAGGATTTGATTGGGAGTCTGGAGACAGTCCCGTTCTTAGCCTGGGCTGCAGTACTCTGGGTCAGAGTTGAATGCTCTGTGTTCCCATGTGCTCCCCGAGCCTCCTGCTTCTATTCTTTGTTTAACTTCTCTTCTCATTCAGCCTTGTAAACTTCCCCCATCAGGGTGTAAACTGGCTGAGGGTAAGGACTCTGCTATGGACAACTCTGTGTTGTTACAATCCAACAATGGGCATTTATAGGATTATGTCCTATCGGTAATTGTTGAATGTGTGGAATGAATGACTAAATGGATGATCAATTTATTTCCTGTCCATTTCTTTTCTAGACCCTTGCTTCTCACTCTATACTTCGGAATACTGAGTGGTTTATGCTCTCCAATTCAGTGATCTCTCTGTGCCATTGTACATATTGTTGGCTCTAACACCCTACTTTTACCCCATGCTCCTGTCTGCTTAGGAACCCACTAGTCATTTTTCTATGCACCTCCTTGTATCCCAGGATCATCATCTCTGATCCACAACTATGTCTGACCAGCCTTCATGCTTCAGCAGTTGCCACAAGGCACTGCAATGTGTGTACTACAATTGTCCTCTCCCTAGGTTTTAATTTTTAAATTTTATTATTATTATTATTAGCATGCCTCTCTCCTCTACCACTAGCCCTCATTCCTAAAAGCAGGGCCAAATTTTTCTGCTGGCATATTTATTGAGTGGAAACAAATAGGTCATTCTTTCAATACATACTGATTGTGCATCTACCACTTTATGACAGGCATTGTGCTAGGTTCTGGGGATACAAGTATGGGTGAGCAAGGTATGGGCCCTGTTCTAGGATCCTGTAACTTTAAAGGGAGACAGATCAAAAGGCAAGGAATTTTGTTAGTGAGAGTGATCGTGTGGAGAGGTTCCACTAAGCTTCTTGTACAACCTCTTAGAGAAACCAAACAGTTGCCATCGAGTCAATTCTGACTCATGGTGACCCTATGTGCATCAGACTAGGACTGGGCTCCAAAGGGTTTTCAGTGGCTAATTTTTCAGAAGCAGATCATCAAAGCTTTTTTCTGAGGTGCCTTTCAGTGAACTCGGCCTACCAGCCTTTAGATTAGTAGCCAAGTGCCAGTAAACTGCATCACCCACACACTCTTCTTGGAGAAAAAGACATCTAAGTTGAGATCACAAAGGTTGTAAACTGGTAGTCAGTGAGCCTTATGCAGTTAGTAGATAAATTGTGTTGGACCTACACACTGTTAAAAACATTTTTTTGGAAATAATTCCCAACTGATTGTTGTGTTGTTGTTGTTAAGTGCTGTTGAGTCAGTTCTGACTCATAACAACCCTGTATAGGATTTCCAAGGAGCGTTTGAACTGCCGATCTTGTGGTTCTAAGGCCAGTGCTGATCCTACAGTGTCACACCAGGAATCTTGTTAAAAGTCTATATTTCTTAGGCCTACATTCCTGTATAACAAATATCAGGGTAGTAGGAAACACTGCACTTCTTCAGTCATTGTTGTTGTTAAGTGCCATCGAGTCGGTTCCAACCCATAGCGACCCTGCACAGGGTTTCCGAGGCTGTAAATCTTTACGGGAACAGAAAGCCTCATCTTTCTCCTGTGGAGCAGCTGGTAGTTTCAAACTGCTGACCCTAAGGTTCACAGCCAGATTTGTAACCACTATGCTACCAGAGCTCCTTGCAGTTTTTCATTGGGGACATGCAAACTCTGATTTACTATGTCTCCATCACCCACCCCACCCCCACACACATACACACTTCATTTCATCCATTTTATTACTTGCCAGAGTCTTGAAGACATTCGAGTTTGCAACTTCAGCCTTAAAAGATAAAGAGAGGCAGGAATTGGTAAGCATTTCTGGCGTGTACAAGGGGTTAGAGAGCTATTAGGCAGTTTTAGACACATAACTGTTGTTAGGGGCAGTTGAGTTGGTTCTGATTCATAGATTCTATACACAACAGAATGAAACACAACCAGACCCAGCACCATACTCACAATTGTTGTGATCTTTGAGTCCGTTGTTGTTGCCACTGTATTACTCCATCTAGTTGGGGATCTTCCTCTTTTTTGCAGACACTCCACTTTGCTAAGCATGATGTCCCTCTTGAGTGACTGGTCACTCCTGACCACATGTCCTCGCTTTTAAGGAACACTCTAGCTGTTCTTCTAAGACATTTACTTTTTCTTCTGGCAGTCCACATATTTTCAATATTTTTCACAAACACCATAATTCAAATGTATCAATTCTTCTTCAGCTTTCCTTATTCATTGTCTGGTTTTCACAGGCACATGGGACGATTCAAAATTCCAAGGCTTTGGTCAGCTGTACCTTAGTCCTCGAAGTGATATCTTTGCTCTCTAAGACTTTAAGAGGTCTTTTGTAGCAGATTTTTTCTAATGCAGTATGTCAGTTGATTTCTTGACTTTTAATTCTGTGAGTGCTGATTGTGGAAGCAGGTGAGTGACGTCTCTGAAATTCTGTTTACTATGATGTTATTAACTGGTCCAGTTTTGAGGGTTTTTTCTTTAAATTGAGGTGCAATACATATTAAAGATTGTAGCCTATAATCTTAATCAGTAAGTATTTCAAGTCCTCATTGCTTCTAGCAAGCAAGGTTGTGTCTTCAGCATATTGCAAGTTATTAATGAGACTTTTTCTCCGATCCTGATGCCATGTTCTTCATGGATTACTCGTTCAGCATACAGATTGAATACATATGGTGAAAGAATACAACCCTGGCCCACACCTTTCCTGATTTTAAACAATTCAATATATAAATTAGTTGTTGTTATTAAGTGCCATTGAGTTGGTTCTGATTTATAGTAACCAGATACAGGGTTTCTGAGGAGCAGCTAGTGGGTTTGAACCAGCAACATTGTAGTTAGCAGTCCAGTGCTTATCCTATAACTCCACACCAGGATTCCATACAGATGATTAAATATCAAGGAGAGTGGTTATGAATATATATGTTGGGTTCCCTAGAAGCTGACCCTGTGATGGAGATTCTTATTTAAGAAGTAGTGGAGAAATGCTTTTTTTTTAAATTTTTTTTTAAGGTTTTTATTGTGGATTGAGTGAAAGTTTACAGGGCACATCATCAGTTTCACATTCAACAATTCATATAACTTGTTTCATTACATT